GGGGTCACAGGGGGGTCAGAGGTGGTTAGAGGGGGCACAGTTGGGGGCAGAAAGGCACGGGAGTAGGGGAAAAGTGGACATTGAAATACAAAAAGAACAACAAAACTTAGCCTTAATACTTATCTGTCAAAATCAACAGAGTAGACAGCACCCGAATTTTTTTTTTTATAAACTGTTGTTGTTGTGGGAGGGGGTAGTTCGTTTTTTAACAATTCTTAATCGTTTGAGATTCTGGATCCTGGAAAAACTCCATTTGTGTTTTCATATAAAAAATTGTTCCCACAGTTGTTTTAGTGGCACAACTAAGGTCACTTCTTCCCTGTTCGATGCGCCTTTTCAGTGCCTCATTAGAGGCGGCTAAAAGTAGTAACACACACTGCAGTGACATCTTCCACTCAAGTCCTATTCCCGACAGAGGCCGCTCTAGTGACCTACTGGATAGTTCAAAACGAAGTCACTTGGGAGACCAGGGAGGCGGGGCTGGAAGGGTGAGGGTAGGGGGCTCCACACAGAACGATGTCAAGGATTGAAAGGAAACACCATTCAACATAATTTGTTTTGTTTTTTTAAGACATGACCCTAAAACATAATTGCTAACCTTATTTCTCGTGGGATGAGGTCAACTTAAACACTATCACAATCCTTATTTCTGGCGCGGAAAGGTCAAACTGAATGCCATGTCCCCTATCTCTACAGGAAGTAAAAATGCCAAACGAATTGATCAAAGTAAAAATTCAAAATCTAAGTAAAAGGAAGAGGGTTTGAAAGCAAAAGATTTAGAAACAAACATTAACCTTTTGTGAGAGAGACACTAGATAAAGTTCGTGAATCAAACAGTCAACCAACAATAGAAATATTTAGCAGCGTGCACACCTTCTAACTTTAATCCTCAAAAACTGCTTTGATCAAAATGCTCAAAATCACTTGAGCTACCGTATCATTAATAATAATATGAGTTAGTTGGTAAAATGTGTATTATGTTCAGCTGAAATGCCATAATGCAAAATTCTCTTGAAAGTCTAGGAATATGGAATGTTCCTTTCCAGACTTCCGTCTGAGAACGATGCAGGTCATTTAGTGCTGGGGGGAAAGTAAGACTGAGGGAAAGTAAAGAGGTAGGACCTACCAGTGGTGCCCTTCAATCTTTCTTCAGCACTATAGTTTTATGGGTGCACATGTTTATCAAATCCAGATGTTTCCAGTTTTATTCAGTCAGCCATGAAAGAAGACGCGCTTGTTTGTCCGTAATCATTGCTTTGTATTATGAGGCGTCTGACTCTTTATCGTGAAAACTTCCCCTACGCCTTAAAAAAAACTATACATATTAAAATTTTGTACCTGCCAAGATTGTGTATTTTACTGTCTTTCACTTATATTTTAAAAAATATTAAATAAGTAAATATCTCTACTTACGAATGACTCGCTGCGCATTATACTACACCCCCCCCCGCCCCCAACCCGAAACAAAACAAGATTGTCTTATTTGAGACATTCGTTCATGACGGTGGGTGGTTGGCGGGTGCTCTGGTGTGGTTAGCTTCTTTTTTCCTATGAAACTTCTATCGTCCTTATCTCCTCTTCTTCTTTTTTATGTTTGTTACTCTCTTGTAACACCTCTAAGCTTCTGGTGCTCATATGCAGTTGTGAGCGCCGTAAAACCTCTACTAAAACTAAAACGTTCATGACGTGTACATACGACGACAAACCTGGACATATGACGACATAGCAGGACATATGACGACATATCTGGACATATGACGACATATCTGGACATGTGACGACATATCTGGACAAATGACGACATATCTGAACATACAACGACACAACTAGACATGTAACTACATACCTAGACACGTGACCGTCATTCCAAGTAATTCCCACAAATTTTCCCCCATCAGAAATCCAAACTTCAGTGATGGTTTTGTCAGAGACATGTTGTTCCTGGGCAGGAGAGGGGGGGGGAGAATGGG